ATAAAAAAAGAAGTAGGTTTTTTGGTTGTGGTTGGGTTTTTATTTAATTTTTTTTTTTTTCCCCCCCCCCCCCCCAATTGGACAATCTTGTCATAAAATATTTACAGAAGAATAAATTTACAAGAACCAGAAAAAAAAAAATGTTTAAATCATTGTAATGGTAAGCACACATCACGAGATAATAGGACAAAATGTAAGGGATCTTGTAATCTAAACAGTGCACTATTAGGACAGAAATAGACCAAATGCAACCATCAGGAGCAAAGGGCCATTCAAAAGCATGGCCCAAAATAAGAGAATGTTTTTAAACTTCTAGGGGAAAAAGCAGGTTGTTTAATGCATGGTACTGCATGTGACAGGATACCCAGCAGGAAGAAGGCAAAACCTGCATCTTACACTCAAATTAATTCCAGAAGAGCAAAGAAATGGAAATTGTGAAATCCTGACAGAAAAGGAAATGGGAGACTTGGAGGGAGGCTGAGAACGCAGGGACAGCGAAAGAACACGGCAGGTAGCCAGGTTTCGTGCAACAGAGGCCTATAAGCCAAATCAGTCTAACTCTTAAGAGTTCCAGAAAGAGATTGCATGATGTCCAGGGAACAGTGGACAGCTTTCTGCAGAGTGACTCCAAGTGGCTGACACTAATGCAGAAACCTATGAATTCACTATTCAAAGAAATGTTAAAATCACAGTGAAATACTACCTTTTTACCAATCAGATTGGAAGACTGAAATCCATAGCCAGTAAAATCACATATTACCAGACTTTTTTTAGAAATAAATATGGTAAATAATGTTGCCCACGTATTTTAAGTCTAAAATAGGATTGTTTTTAATTGACAGGGAATGTTCTACCTCTTAAAATATTTTGGAATGCCAGTTTCCTGGGCAACCCTGTATGTATGAATTCCTGGTTATGGAACACAGTAGGAGAGGGGTAGCTTCCATAAGTGCTAAAGCACAAAGCTCCAGATAGTTGATGATTATTTGCTTTTATGGTGCTCCCTGTGGTGTAAAAAGTATGTCCTTTGAGAAAGATTTGAAACAACTTATTAAAAGAGCAAGTGCTATGTCTGAGAAAATTGATCCAGAGTGGCCATTAACAAGACATATTTTTAATAAAATTACTGGATTTTAAAGACAGGAAAGTCCTTTGGATAGCCAAGCAAAAAGAGATGAAGTCATTTCTATGGAAAAGAAAGTTAGACTGGCATCAGACTTCAACAGCAGAGTTTATGCCAGAGGAAAAAAGGTGTTCAAGACAGAGAGGAAATGTCAGCCAAGGATTTTTATATCCAGCTGAACTGACTTCCAAGTATAAAAGCTGAAGACAAACTTATCAACTTGGAAGAACTGAACGACTTGTGAGCTTTTTCTGACAAATCTGATAGAAAACAAGTTCGAAACACAAAACTACAGACACTCTGACTCAGGACTGGTGGTAAGTGTGAAATATATATTGAGTTGTATCCCTAGTCCAAAAGAGAGCTGTCAAGGAGATGGCATTATGTGCATGTTGAGGGCATGAGCCCAAATAGATTCAGTACAGCTAGTTAGGAAATTGAGCAGTGGGCTGACAAGACCGCCCAGCATGTAAAAGTGCTTGCCACCAAGCCTGATGACCTGAGTTTGATCTCCAGGACCCACATGGTAGAAGGAGAGAACCAACTCCCACTGGTTGTCCTCTGACCACCACATGTACACATGTGCATGCACATACAGTACATGCACACATGCAGTAAAAGAAAGAAATTTGAGCAGTGGCCATGGGAAGAACATAGGCGGAATATCTGGCCTCCTTCACAGGTTGGAAATACTGAGGCCAGTACAGGTGTGTAGGGGAGATGTGTGGCAAAGCCAGTACATGGCATTGTGTTCTAACTCTGCCATCTGGTATCCTGGAGAGGCAGAACTGGAATAAAAAGGTAGACATAGAAGGCTTTAGAAGGAGGGCAAAGCTGTATTTCCCTTTTGAATTGAAGTGTCAGTGTGAACATAGAAACACCTTCCCTGGCCTCCATACTCCAGATACTGCTTCCCAGCAGCACAAGCCAGAGTCATGGAGAAATGGTCAGTTCTGGGTCAGTTGTGGGAAATGGACAAGATGAGTCAGAGCCTCTGGCAGCCTGGAGCCAGACAGCAGGACTGCTGAGATTTCCTGGGGGAGTGTGGGGCACATTGAAGGCACTTGCAGGGACAAAGATGTGTGCTCCCTGCATAGGTGGAAACAGAGTAGAGTCATCACGACAAAGGGTTAACGCCATGAGTTCATAGTAATATTTCAAGACAGTTACTTAGTCTTCTTTGAAGGACAATAGGAATTTATAATTTTTTAAAATATTTTATTTATTATTTTTAGTTTATGTTTATGTGTGTATTGCCTGTGTGTGGAAGACCCGGGTTCAAATCCCAGCCACCCACATGGCAGCTTATCATTATTTTTAAAAATATAAAGAAATCTGAGTATTTATCCTGATTTTGCTGCATCTCATACCATTGGGGACCGAATAGTGCAGAATTTTTCTCTAGACGTATTCTCACTAGTAAAGAAGGGCTGCTTCAGTTAGAATCACCACTTTGGGTTTTTTTGTTGGTTTTTTTTTTTTAAGAATATTTTTTATTATTCCAAAGAGAGGCAATTTTTAACACATTTTTCCAGAAATAACTTGAAGCAGGTTACATAAAAATATATATACAATGAAGTTTAAGGGTGGAAAAATATAAGAAATCATAGATTAAAGCCAGGCATGGTGGCACACATGTCCTCAATCCCAGCACTTGGGAGGCAGAGCCCAGCAGATCTCTGAGTTTGAGTCCAGCCCAGTCCACTCAGCAAGTTCCAGGCCAGCTGGGGTCACAGGGAGACCCTGTCTCAGAAAGACGAAAAAAAAGAAATCAAAGACCAAACATGGGGTCAACTTTGGTGGAATAATGAAGGTTTCCATTAGCTCTGTTCTGCTTTTCTTTTTTTTTTAAATCCTAGTTTATTGGGCTTGGGCTTGCTAATAGAGCATAGGGTGGAGTTTATTTACAGAAGAGTGGGCACCCCCCATTTATGACTGTGCTGGAAAGTCCACACTCAAATATAGATCCTCTGACTTCCCAACAGCCACACAAAATGGTGAGAGAGGTGCCTCGTGGCGTTCTCAGCTTATATATCCTTAGCTCCTCCCTCACATGCAGCTATGGTCAACTGGACTGGGTGGAAGGGGTAACTGACTCCCCTCTCGACTCCTTGATGAGCATGGGAAGGAGGTGTGACTATAGCTTGCTGGCATAGCGGTCTGAGGGCACTTCCAGTTTACGTTCCACCCCTTCCTCCAGCTCTTAAATTCTTTTGCCAACCTCTTTCACAAAAATCCCTGAGCCTCGAAGGGGGTGGTTGGTGGGGGATGATCTTCCTCCTATTGTGGCAAGGCATTGAACTTTTGGGTCTCTGCATCATCTGTTTTCCATGGGCTGTTGGCCCATTTCATTAGGTAAAATCAACACTTGGTAAACTCTAAGGAATTAACAGACCTGGACATGGAGCAGCAACGGCCAATAACATCACAAGAGGGACAACAGGCCTTGTTATCATACCTTTTTTTTTTTTTTTTTTTTTGAGATAAAGTCTCACTCTGTGTCCCAGGCTGGCCCTGAACTTGCAGTCTTTCTAGTCCTTCTGCTTCCTGGGTACTATGAACTCTGTGTGTGTGTGTGTGTGTACGCTCTGGGGATAGAACCCAGGACTTCACATGTCTTGCAAGTGTCTACCACTAGTCTGTGTGTGTGTGTGTGTGTGTGTGTGTACGCTCTGGGGATAGAACCCAGGACTTCACATGTCTTGCAAGTGTCTACCACTAGTCTGTCCCCAAAGGTGGCTCTTGGTGAAAGACCACACCACCTCCTAGAATGGCTGCTTGCCAGATAACTGGCATCTGAATACAGACCCTCTCCACCAACTTTATTTATTTTACGTTCTTAATTTATTTTGTGTGTATGTGGGCATATGCTTGCACGGCATGTGTGGTGCTCAGAGAACAACTTGTGGGAGTTGGTTCTTCCTTGCACTGTGTGGGTCCTGGGCATCAACTCAGGTCATTGGGCTTGGCTCCTCCATCCATTTTCCAACAGAAAATTCAGAACACAAATCACATGGGGGGCACACTCAGTGAATTCTGGATTGTGGGAAGTTGTGGTTAAACAACCTGGCTTCTTCAAGAATAAAATGTAGGCCAAGCATGGTGGTGTACACCTTTAGTCCCAGCACTGGGGAGGTAGAGGCAAGTGAATCTCTTGAGTTCAAAGCCAGCCTGGTCTACATAGTGAGCTCCAGGCTAACTGGGACTACATCATGAAAAAAAAAGACAGGGAAAAGGCAGGTAGTTCCTGTAGATGAAGAGACCTTAAAGCACCCAAAGTTTAGGGACACATGTTCAACAGCCACCTCTAGAAAAAAGCAGGCTACAAAGGCCTGGGGTATGGCTATTGTCAAGGGCTCCTCCGAGTTCTGGTTTTTTTTTTTTTTTTTGGCCTGAGTCATGAGTATGGTTCGTCCCACACTTCTTCATTGTTTGAGGTGACTTTGTACAACACAATTTAAAGAGCAGGTAGAGCAGAGGCTTTTCTGTCACTGAGCTCCCTGAGGATTTGGGGGGCTTCACGACATCTCTGAGGCTGTCACATATATTAATCCCCAGCTCCCACTTGCAGAGTGTGGCTCCGTGTGTGTATGTGCATGTATGTATGTGTATGTGTATTTGTGAGACCAGGTGAGTTGCACATAGTGAGTCCTCTTGCACATCTGCAGTGTAGCAGACATTGTGGGCACTGGGGACACACCAGTGAACAGCCATAAAGCCCTGCCTTCATGAGCTCCTGGGAGGTAATAAAAATAACAGAAGCTGTTTATTCCAGCAGAAAGTGGGAGGTGCTGGGGGGGCACTAAGCAGAAGAAGGCAAGGGAGTGGGCACTGTTTGAAGTAGAGCCCAACTCACAGAGTAGCTGAATGGAGACCTATGAGGAGATGAGAGAATAGACCACAGGTGTCTAGGGAAGGGATGTTCCAGTAAGGCATGGACAGTGCTGAGGTGGCCACAGCAGGATTAGCTAGAACTGAGGTCCCAGAGGCAATGGGGCAAGAGTTGAAGGGACCTGTTGGGTCCTCTCTAGGAGTTGGGCTTTTAGTGTGAGAAAGTAGAAACGTCAAGAATCGAGCCAGAGGCCATGGTAGCTTGGCCAAGCATTTTCATTGCTCCGGTGCAGGAGAAAAGGAAGCAGGAGAGTGCTGCTGAGACCGTGACAGGTGTTCATGCTGAAGATGTGTGGTAGAGAGCCTAAGACACTAAGAGGATTCCAGGATGGCCCAGAGGCCTGACCCCTCTGGCTGCCAGCTGCTGTGTCTGGGGAGAGGTGACATGGAAGGAAGAAGGCTTAGGAAAGTAACTTCTAGAAAGGTGCTCAATATGTCATACTTGAAACTGTGAGGTTGGATAGATTCACTGAGGCCTCCAAGCACAGGAGTAAGGAGCAGCCTGAGCCCCGAGTGCCCTGAGGCAGACTCTGGGGACCAGTTCAGCTCAGCTCAGCTCCCAGCTGTTTTTCCATTGCCTTATCTCCAGAGATGCAGACTGTAGCCACCACAGATCCTGTTCCACATGTCTACACACCACATTATTGACATGTTAGGGTATAGTCCTGAACTCTGCCTCACCTTCTCTGACACTGTTATAGAATTATAAATTAGAAGCTGGAGAGATGGCTCTGTGGTTAAGAGCACTGGCTGCCCTTACAGAGTCTGGGTTCAGTTCCTGCCACCCACATGGAAGCTAAAAACCGTCTGTAACTCCAGTTTCACGGGATTTGACGCCCTCTTCTGGCCTCCATAGGTATTACATGACTTGAGAACACTAACATACATGCAGGCTAAACACTCATACACATTAGATAAATAAATAATAAATTAATAAATAAGGGGCTGGAGAGATGGCTCAAAGATTAAGAGCACTGACTGCTCTTACAGAGGACCTGGGTTCTCTTCCCAGCATCCACATGGCGGCTAACAACCATCTGTAACTCCAGTTCCAAGATGCAATGCCTTCTGACCTCCGAGAGCATTGCCCAGCATGGGTGCACTTATACACATGCAGGCACTACACTCATACACATAAAAATAATGAAATAAATAAATCTTCATAAAATTTATTTAGAGTGCATCATGAATCTGCTGTTTCTTTCGTTAAAATAGACTGCATAATATGACTGGACAACTGGAATTCTTACTGATGTGTTTGGGATTGTTTTCCAGAAAAGCTTTGACCTGGAAATACTACGCAAAGAAAATTCTTTACTATCTGCGGCAACAGAAAATCTTAAACAATCTCAAGGCTTTTCTTCAGCAGCCGGATGACTATGAGTCTTATCTTGAAGGTGGGTCTCCCCTTAGTTTTGGTCAGGGGTCTGTGATAGGTAGCCAGGCAGGCATGAGAGCTGGCCCTTGGGGTACAGACCAGATAAGGAAGCCATGCTGCCTGGACTTTGTGGGGGGTTGGTTATGAAGGGACATACTGAAACTTGCAGAGAAGGTTTTGGTGGCATCTTAGCTGTCAGCTCAAGTGATCGTGTTACCTAAAGACTGTATCATTATAATGTGTAATTATTTCAAAGAGAATGGAGCTGGGGACATGCTCAGTAGCTGAAGTGCACAGGCACAAGGAAGGCCCTGAGTTCAGTCACCAGAGTCCATGTAAGAAGCCAGGAATACTGGCACACACTAGTAATCCCAGCACTGGGGAGGTGGGGACAGGAGGATTCCTAGGGCTCCTAGATCAGCCAGCATGGTCAACTCAGCAAGCCCCAGGTCCTAGTGAGAGACCCTTCTGTGTCAAATACATGCATTGCTTTTGTTTGGGGTTTGTTTTGTTTTGTTTTGAGACAGGGCCTAGGGTAACCTTGAAATTACATCATCCTGAGGATTATAGTTGTGCCTAGCCCTTGTAAGTCTAGGTCTGTTATGTCCTAGGCCCTTGAGTTTAATCACTGCAGTCCATAGTGCCTAATATAGATGCTTGCTGATTTTATGAAAGTCTAATGTCACCCAAGAGGAAATGAAGAATCTCTTAGTTGACTGAACTGAAGATGTCCTGATCACCTTCTCATCTACTTGTGCACTTCCTAGAGATGGGAATCCTCCTCTTGTTTACTTCCCAGTTCAGAATAGATAATGGTCTTTGTTTTCTGTAGGTTATAGATGAAAAGTAAATATTTGTTTATCATTTTTCAAATACAAAGTTAAAATTTCAAACAGTCCTTCCCATCACCACAGTGCGGTGGAAGCTGTTGGGTAGCTGCCATGGCTGGGTGGAGGCAGCAGCTCAGGACCCTCCAGTGAGCATACACTGCTGCTGCCAGCATAGGCTGGGCAACCAGCTCACATGTGAACTGAGCCTCAGATGAGCACATACCCACATGGCAGCTATCTGCTGTGCAGCACAGGACTGTGGCCTGGGCTAGGTCTCTTGATGCCCTCAACTGCCTTCAACTCCTTAGAGTGTAGATGGGGGTGTCAAGTCCTAGACTAATCTGAGTGAGGTCACCTGAATTTAAAGGTGACTGGAAAGCTTCCAAGAAAAATGTCCTATAGCCAAATGCTGGTGGCAGCCATGCACGTCAGGTTGAAAACTGACTGAGGGTGGTGTGGCAGTTTTAGCAACAGGCTTCCTGAGTGGGTACTTGCTCTAATTTGAAGGTGGAGTTGGCTCCAGAGTCTGTTCCCTATACACCCTTAAGAGGTATATTGTTGAAGTGGCCTGTTGAAAACGCTGGCTCTCAGTGTAGTTTCTATGAGGGATTGCCCTGTGCTGTTCAGGTTTTCATTATTAGGAGAGCAAGATACCTTGAGATCTTTCCTATGGTGTTTGTTTCTCTTTGCAATAGACAATGGGACTACACCACATGTCCTGCACCTTCTGAATCATGACCTCAAAAAGAAAAGTTTGGTTTGTCCAGGCATGATGATGCACACCTTGAATCCTAGCACTTAGAAGGCAGAGGCAGGTGAAGCTCTATGAGTTCCAAACCAACCAGGGCTACACAGTGAGACTCTGTCTCAACAAAACAAACAGAAATTTGGCTTTTTGTTTTTTGGGGTTTTTTGTTTGTTTGTTTTGTTTTTTTAAAGTATGAATTGCTTTCTCCTTTCCTTTGTAGCAGAGGAGATCTCTGTGTTGCAGGCGAAGTTCTGTGCTCACTACAAAGTGAAAACATTTGTTCCTTCTCACTGTGTAGCACATGGCCTGGCATCCAAATGGGTCTGATAGGTGGTGTGAGAAGCCACAGCCTAGGTGCCAGGTCCACAATACACTATTCAGAATGAGCATTGACTCCACTCTTCTCACCTTCAGGTGCCGTCTACATCGACCAGTACTGCAACCCTCTCTCCGACATCAGCCTCAGAGACATCCAGGCCCAGATTCACAGCATTGTGGAGCTCGTGTGCAAAACTCTGCGTGGCATCAACAGCCGCCACCCCAGCCTGGCCTTCAAGGCAGGTGTGGAACTGCTTTAGATCCACTGGTTTTGGAAAGGAACACCTGGGGAGTGGGTTAGCTCAGGGAGGTCAGCTTGCAGTCCTGTGGTGTGGCAGAGTGATGCCTGACACAGTGGCACATTTACCTGGATGAGGTAAATACTGAATCCACCCTGTCTTCTGCCTGTTATCTTGGCACAAGATTGTTAGGCCTGTGCCAGTCTGTGTATTGGGGTTGTCACAGCCTTGTTTGTGCGTGTGTCCCAGAGGAGATCTCTGTCTTGCAGGTGAATCCTCCATGATCACAGAGATAGAACTCCAGAGCCAGGTGCTGGACGCCATCAACTATGTCCTGTACGACCAGCTCAAGTTCAAGGGGAACCGGATGGACTACTATAATGCCCTAAACCTGTATATGCACCAGGTAAGTGTGGATATAGTAACAGGGAGAAACATGAAACCCCCTCTCCGTAGCCATGGGTTCTGCATCTTCTCAACCAACCCTCGACAGTCGTGTGTGCTGACCCTGTACAAACACATCCTCTACTATCTAAGCAGTGCAAGCTGTACATAGTATTTCATGGTACTGAGTGTTACAAGTGACACTGTGATAATTTAAAGCTTGTGGGAGAATGTGTGTAGGGTCTGTGCACACATTGCCCCCATTTTATAGGAGGAATTTAAGCATCTGCAGACTCTGTTGTCCCTGGGGTGCCCTGCAACCAGTTCCTCTGTAGATACCCAGGGAGGATGGTGTGTTTGTGTGTGTGCATCCTGTGAACTCATCTCTGATGAGTTCATTTCTTCTGATAAGTACTATGTCTTTTTGTCTCTGAATGCCAAGTGAGGCCCATTTTTCCTACCACAGGCTATTGCTATAGATTAGATCTGTTGTGGAATATCCTTTGTAAGCAAGCCCTTGAGCTAAGTATGTCTAGAAGTGGGCGTTTTCTCCGACTCAGTTTGGTTAGTCTATGTCTTGTGACACTGAACTGCAAACCAGCTCCGGCAGGGTCAGTGGAAGCTATGGCTGGCCACATGGGCTGTCACACTTTTGATACTTGTATTTATCCACTTCCTGTCTTGCCTCTATTTTCTTGTCTATTCTAGTGTTTGTTCTCTGGCTTCATTGTTTTGTGTTGTTTTGTGTTAGTTTGTTTTCTTTTTGATCTTACTATGTAGCCCTAGTTGGCCTGTACTCCCCGTGGACCAGGCTGGCCTCAGATGCACAGAAATCTGCTTGGCTAGTCCATAACTTCATTTTCCGTTGTCATATCTTACATGTTTTTCCTTGAAATTGCTTTAAATTCTTTGTGAAAGGAGACCCCCTATCTGGGGTCAGCAGACTGCCTATAAGGGATTAGGCAGCTTTGCAGGCCATGTGGTCTGTTGGCCTCCTTGTAGAGTGGAAGGGGGCATAGAAAGTTTTGAGACAAGAGCCTATCTGTTCTCCAGCAGAACTTGTGTGTGGATGTGGAAACGTGGAATTCATGGGGTTCTGCTTGTTTGAGACAGGCTTTCTACCTCTATAGCCCAGGCTGGTCTCAAACCTTCAAGTCTACCTGCCTCAACCTCCCAAGTGCTGGGATTGCAGGCATGCACCACCACGCCTGCTTAATGTTATTTTTGTGTCACAAAATAGTATTGTTTTTATTGTTGTTTCAAACATTTAAAAAATGTGAAAAATTAGGCCAGAGTGCTAGATTGCTTGCCCAGTGTACACTAGGCCTAGGTTTTCATACCCCACACTACAGAAAACAAAAGCCCCAAAGAAAAGGAAAAAAAAAAATGGATACAGTGCTGGGGCACACCTGTAATCCGAGTACTTGGGAGGCTGAAACAAGAGAAATGAAAGTTTGTGGCCAACCTGAGCTACCTAGTGAGTTCCAAGGCCATCCTAGACTTTGTAGAAAGACCCTGTCTCAAAAAAAGAAGAAAAAGAAAAACCTTTCCTGCTGGCCATGAGAACATAGCTGGTTGGCTGGGTTTGATCCCTGATCTAAGTCCACCCCAGAAACCTGCATCAGTTGTGAGCACTGAGTGAAAGCCAGAACTGCTCCCTCTAAGCCTCAGCTTTCCTTCTCCAGGTGTTGATCCGCAGAACAGGAATCCCCATCAGCATGTCACTGCTCTATCTGACCATTGCCCGGCAGCTGGGAGTCCCGCTGGAGCCCGTCAATTTCCCAAGCCACTTCCTACTAAGGTGGTGCCAAGGCGTAGAAGGGTGAGCCACCCCTGGCATGCTGTGGGTGCTGACTGGAAGTTGGGTTCCAGCGTTGAATTGGGTGTTACCAAGCAGGCTGAAAAGAACCAGCAGGGATGAAGCTGTTTGCTTCTGGGTGCATCAGTGTGAGTGTTCTGATTGTGAAAGTCATATTGTACTGTCCTTACACAAAATACTACTGTTGGGGGAGGTTGGGCGGAGGCTACCCTGTCTTGTGAATCTACAGTTATCTCAAATCTAATTTTTTTAAAAAAGACTAGGACTTAAAGGTCTGCCTCTCAAGGTCTCTTTGTTTCGAAGTAGATCAGTTCAAAGAGTTTAGAGACTCTTTCTCTATTCTTCCAAACTCCTCCCTCCCACTCATGTGGAACTTGAGAGACAGAGAAGGAACACAGGGTGGGCAAGCTCCCCTTTGGCAAGGTTAGTGATGGGTGTGCACTTGGAAACCTGGCTGAGTTCTGTTGTGTTCTAAGAATGTATGTTCTAGCCTGCTGTGTTGGAGGAAAGAGCTCTTTGATAGGTAGAAGTTTGAATCTGCCATTTTAGGCTGGGAGGGACAAGGCTCTTACTGTATCCTGTTCTTTGAAACTTTCTTGAAGATAAGTCAGGTGAGCTGCTGAGCAATATGATAGAAAGTCCCTGAGATTTGAAGCCAGACACTTCAAACTTTGGCTTCCTCTGGGCCTCAGTTTCTTCCTCTAAAGTGGGGCTAGCATTTGTTGTAAAGTGGCTTGGAGGGGTCAAGGGTACCCTCCCAACCCCAGCGCATGCACACACATACCATACTTCCCACCTAGCGGAGTCTCTTCCTCCCCACAGTGAAAACAAGTGCAGTTGTCTCTGCACACCCCTCTGGTTTAAGAAGAAAGATTTTTTCTGTGTAGTGCCTTGTGTGGAAGTTTGTCCCTCTTCAGCCCCAGGGGTAACCACCAGTTAGTCTGAAACTTTATTCCCATGTAGACTGATTACTTAATTACATTCGCATGTTTCTTTTAACAATAGGCTTCCCTTATTTTCCAAATATTTGTTCCTAGAAGTGTATTAGTGGTTTAATTTTTGGATGGTGAATATTAATTTTCCATTATTTTAAATGACTTCAGCCCATTCCCCTTTTTCTCATGATCTGACCAATCTCCCTTGTCTATAAAATGCCCATGCAACAATCTACCCAGGGTTTCCGCACAGTCTAAGGCGTTTATGTTGGTTCTGTATGCAGTGCAGTGACTTACTCAAGGACAGGGTTGTTTGTGGCTACAGTGAACATATATTACAATATAAGTAAATGATACATTTTATTTTTTGTTTTGTTTGGGTATTTGAAACAGGATCTCACTATGTAACTTAAGGCTATCCTGGAACTTGGAATCCTCCTGCCTCATCCTTCCCTCCTGAGTGCTGGAATTACAGTCTTACGCTACCATACCATGCTTGAACAGTGCAATAATTTGTTAGTACCCATAGTGTACTCGTAGGAAGCTTGTAATCCCAGCTACTTGGGAGTCTACAACAGGTGGCAGAAACAAATTCTAAAAGACTAAGCCATTGAGAAAAGGGAGCACAGCCCTTAGCAGCTGGACTCGACCCTCTCTGCCCCTGCTTTGTTCTCTGCCCTGTACCAAGACAATGTTGTCTCCATTGGGAGTTCTAGGCCAGTCAGAGTTGCGTAATGAGACCCTGTCTTAATGAGTGAATGAACAAATGAAATCCTGTATAGAAGGCGAATATGTGGCACATACCTATAATGCCAGCACTTGGAAGGCTGAGGTGGGAAGAGCTCAAGTTTGAGGTCAGCCTGGGCTTCATGGCAAGACCCTGTCTCAAAAACAGACAGGAAAACAAAAAAGTCCTGTGTGGATATTAATTGAAACCAGAACTGCTCTTACTGGGTTCCTGTAGTAACATGGGAACTGTATGAATATGGTTCTCCTTAGTGCCCTTCAAAAGCTCTCACCAAGCTCTGCTAGGGTTCTTCCTAGGAACTTGAGTTTTGTTGCTGTTACAAATGTTAATTTTCATTTCATAAGTGCTGGTGGCATGCAAGGATATGGCTGGTATTTAGATCAAGGTCTGATGCTCAGCAGCTTTGCTAAAGAAATCCTCAGTGTGGAGAATTTGTAGCTCTTGGGCAGTTATTGTCAGTAGCCAGGTAGCTTTGATTGTTGGTTTTTTTTGGAGGGGCGGGGGGTTCTTTTTGTTTTGTTTTGTTTTTTTTGTCTTTGTGACAGGGTCTCCCTGTAGTCCCAGCTGGCCTGGAACTCACTAAGTAGATCAGGCTGGCCTTGAACTCACAGAGATCTGCCTGGCTCTGCCTCCCGAGTGCTGGGACTACAGGTGTGCCCCCACCACGCCCAGCTTGATTCTATTTTCTAGCCTCATATGTTTACTTCTTGTCTTACTTTGTTGACTAGAAGAAGCAATGATAGTAGACACCCTTGCCTTGGCGTCGGGGGCACAACTCAAACTCCTTTTTTGGAGACAGGGTCTCACTCTGTAGCCCTGGCTGGCCTGGAATTCACAGCCTCTGCTTCTGCCTCTGCCTCCCGAGTACTGGGATCAAAGGGGTGCACCAACCACCACACCCTACCAAACTTTTTGTTTTGCTTGTTTTTGTTTTTTTTTTTTTTTTTTTTTTTTTTTTTTTTTTTTTTGAGTTGGTCTCACTATGTAGACCAAGCTGGACTTGATCTCACAGGGATCTGTCTGCGTCTGCCTCCTCAGTGATGGGATTAAAGGCATGCGCCACCAAGCCTGGCTTTAAACTTTTTTGCTTTTTTAATTCATTTATTTCTGTGTGTGTACGTGTGTGCGCACATGTACGTACCTACATGCATCCATATATGTATAGCTCAAGAGGACAACTTGCTGCAGGAATCTTCCTTCCACTGTGTGGTTCCTGGTGATCGAACACAGGTCATCCGATTTGCCTGGTGGCAACTGCCTTTTACCCACTGAGCCATCGGGCTGGCCCAGGATCCCTTTCAAGTGGAATGCTTTTCAGTTTACACCATCAGGGCTAATGTCTGGGATCATCAAAGCTACCTTCCACACTTCTAACTTGCTAAGTGGCATTGATATGTAGGCCCTAGATTTTTGTCAAAATTATTTTCTGTCATTTGGACATGGTTTTTCTCTTTTAGTCTATAGGTGTTAGAATAGTTTAAGTTTGAGTTTTTGTTTTGTTTTATTTTGGGAGTTAGATTTTTGTGTGCTACAGATTAAATATGGGCCATATGCTTGCTATGGCTGTGCTGTACTGTACCACTGAGGTTCACCCAGCCCCATAAATTGTTCTTTAATGTTCAATTCTGCTATTACTCTTGGGGTAAGTCTAGTTCAGTCATGTGTTTTAAGGACACGCTAGTGCATTTGACATATTATGTCCACTTTGTTTTGCATCGTAATGATCTTGGCTCATCCTTCATGCACTTATCCTTAGGAGGTTCTAGCCTCATAAAAAAGGTTGAAGAGTTCTTGTTTCTAGAACATTTATGTAAGTCTTACGTCTTTGCCAAAACTGTGCTATAAACACAACTCAGGAAAGACTGGGATATTTAGCAGCCAAAGAGAAAATGCCGTGTGATTGCAATGGGCATGAAATCCAGATTGCTCAAAAGAAACACCACTGTCCTCAACAGAACCACCCACAGCCCCTGTGAGCCCTCGAGGACACACTTGGCAGTACAACAGATTGTGTCACGTGATGGCAGTTGCTCTGCTCTGTGGGGCAGAGCCCGAGGTTGTGTGGGTACAGCAGAGGGCTGGGTCCTAGGTGGGTTTTCCCTGGCCCTCACAGGCCCAGGACCCCCAGACCAGCAACTGCTGCTGCTCTACAGTTGACAAGCAGCCTCAGTTGTGCCCAAAGTCTTTCACTGCACTCAGGATCAATGTTCCTGGCTGGGAGCTGGGGGACCCTCTTCTAACAAGCTCTGTCACATGGCACACCTCACTGCTGCCTCTTTTTTTTTTAACTTCTTAAACGTAGAGTGTGCGTGCATGTGTGTGTGCATGCGTGTGTGTGTGTGTGTGCGCGCACGCACGCACGCGTGAGTGTGGAGGTCAAAGGACAACTTTCAGGAGTCACGACTCTCCTTCCACCATGTGGTTCCCAGAGATCAGACTCAGGTTGTCGGACTTGGCAACAAGCACCTTTACCTGTGAGCCATCTTGCTGGCCCTTCTGCCATTCAGTTCCAGGTGGTGTGGTCATCGTATAGCTGAGCTTGTTTTAAGAGTCAGGTTTTAAGCTGGGCAAGGCCTTGATGGCATTGCTAGAAATGGTGCTTTGAGCCTTTGGCCTCTGCTTTGAGCTTCTCATTGCTGGCATTTAAAAATTGATTATTCTGTCTCATGGGACAGAGCAACCCTGGACATCTTTGACTACATCTACATAGATGCCTTTGGGAAGGGCAAGCAGCTGACTGTAAAGGACTGCGAGTACTTGATTGGCCAGCATGTGACGGCAGCACTCTACGGCGTGGTAAACGTAAAGAAGGTGCTGCAGCGGATGGTGGGCAATCTGCTGAGTCTGGGCAAGAGGTGAGGCCAGCTCCTGCATGCGCTGTGTGGGCCTTCAGTGCTCTGCTTGTCTTACTAAGAAACTGTTGAATGAGATTCACCTTGAGATTGCGAAGCCATGGAAACAACTGGTTTGTGACAGCTGCTCACAGCTGTGCATGCTGAGTGGCTGCTCTGAGGTGCTTCTGTGGACTTGCTCTCTGCACGCATGCTGGGAGCATTCTTCAGTGACCAGGGTGTCTCGGACTGACAGAGATTGCTTTTCAGAGGCAGGGTGTTCTCTTGCCCAAGTGCTTTTGACTTTAGAATTTACCCTTCTATTGCCAAGAGAAGAAAAACAAAGTATGAAATTTTATCTTGCTTCAGAGTTCAAGGAAAATGATCTCAAGTAAATAGCAAGTAGTAGGCTATATGTTATGATGATATTTTTCTGCCTCTTAAGATTCTTTTTTTAATAGATTATATTTTTAGAGCAATCGTAGGTTGACAGCAAAATTAAGCAGACCGTAGAGGGAGTTCTATAAATGCCTGCCTATATACACACACAGGCTATAAAGGGAGTTCCAGAAACTCCTGTCTGCATGCATGCAAGCCTGCTCCCCACACACGTCCTCCACCAGAGCAGACACTTGAGGTGTTTGGGGTTTTCTTTTTGGTTTTTTGGGGGGGTTTTGGTATTTTTGAGACAGGATCTCCCTGTAGCCCCAGCTGGCCTGGAACTCTCTATATAGACCAGGCTAGCCTCAAACTCACAGAGATCCACCTGTCTCTGCCTCCCAAGTGCTGGTATTAAAGGCACGTGCCACTATGCCTGGCCAGAGCAGACACTTGTTAAAAGTGCTGACCCCACTTTGACAGGTCGCCCCAAGGTTCATTCTTACTGGTGTAAAGCTCTGTGGATCTGGACACATGTGAACACATGTCCACTGTTACAGTGCTGCATGGGGTAGTTTCATTGCCCTGGGAGTCCTGACTACTTCAGAGTTCAGCTTACAGGGCAGAGTCTCCAGCACTTAGACAAGTGTCAAATACCTTTGGGGGACTGATTAAGGGGTCTTAGGATTTTTTTCCCTTAAAGCAAGAGTGGCAGGTGAAATGGTCTCTATATTTGTTAGAAGAAAGGTTGACAAGTTGGCATTCCCCGGTTCCCATGCTAACCAAGACTGACCTGTTTAGGTCCTCCTGGTCCACATGTGCTAGCCTTTGTCAGGTTATATAGATCTAGATCCCATGCTGTGGAAAAGAAAGCGCTTGCTGAAATAATATCTCCTTACAGTTTTGTTGAGGTGACTGTGTAATGAAGGCATGATTTTAATATAGTGCAAGATTTTTAATCAGCGTGGATTTTGTTAAGAGTGTCAAAGAACCAATGAACAGAGGGGAAATTTGGGGGTGAGAAAACACTAGGAATTTGTGTTGGCTACTTTTAAACTTGCCGTGAGAAAGGACTGTTGGCTAGGAAGCCAGCAGAGTGAGACATGGTGTTTCCCCAGGGAAGGCATCGACCAGTCCTACCAGCTCCTCAGAGACTCCTTGGACCTATACCTGGCGATGTACCCAGACCAGGTGCAGCTTCTGCTCCTCCAGGCCCGGCTCTACTTCCACCTGGGCATCTGGCCAGAGAAGGTAAGTATCTTACTTTGATGCTTGGCCCTTGCCTTAGAGAGGAAAGTTTTAGCTTGAGATGTGGCTGGCCCAAGTTCATCCTCATATTAACAAGGGAGTAAGTTCAAATTTACTAGTCTCCCAATCCTGACCTACAAATCAAGTTTCCTTCTGTCTTCTCTTGTAAAAACATTGGTCCTACCATGAGGAGTTGTTGTTCTCTGAGCACCCGCGACAAAGCCTGGCCTTGCCACTTACCCTCTGCCACCCCAGGTACCTTCCTAGAGTCACCCACTCAGCAAGGAGACACAAGACAAGGTTCTGCCTACGGCTGTGCTGCTAGCAACTGTTAGCTATAAAAAATACATCTGCTTGGCCTGCGAAGGTCTGGCCATGGGGCTAGCTAAGTCTGTATTGTTTCACTTGAAGAGTCTTGCTTTTATCACACCATTCCCCCATACCCCCCTCTACTGGCAACAGGTGCTGTGTGTGAGAAGGCCATATGTTGAGCCCGGAGCTGGCCTTGGGCACACTGTATGCATCCTCATGTGGGTCTGGTTGTGTGTGAGCATGCATGAGCCCATTTCTTCCTGCCCTTGCTCTGTCCTGGAAATAAGTCAGCATCCCATTTCACTTGTTTAGAACAGCATAGCAAGAGAATTTGATTATGAGCCCTTGCTGGGATGTCCTCCTATAAGCTTATCTCCTGAAGTTATTAGAGAGGGGTAAAGTCTACAGAAATAAATACTCTGGGGTCTGGAAAGATGGCTCAGCAGTTAAGAGCACACACTGCTCCTTCAGAGGATCCGAATTCAGTTCCCAGCACCTATGTTGGGTGGCTCACAACCATCTTTGACTCCAGCTTCAGCAGATCCAACATCCTCTTCTGGCCTCGTGGGTGCGGCACTTGTGCTCATACCCACATGTAAACATGCACATAACTAAAAAATCATTGAAAAAAGTTTTTAAAGGAAATAAATATGCTGATTGGGGTTTCTGCACTACTTGTACCATGCTAGTTCATGGTTTAAAGATGTAAAGTAGGACTAAGGATACATGGAGAACACCAGCTCCTAGCTCAAGAAAAGATGCAGCCTAGGCCCCAGATAGTGCATGTGCTCCCAGAGTGCCTGCAAGAGTCCAAGGAAGAGTCAGCCCTGAGAGCAAACACCCACCTCCCACTGAGTGGCAGCACAGGGCTTTTGCATGCTCCCATTGTTTATGTACTGTAGTAGCAGAGCATGTAGCTGGTCCTTTCAGTTTGTTGAGGGATTTCAGGATTGTCCAAGAAAGATGGAACAAAGGTTCCTTAAGTGTTCTGGTTTAGTGGTAGGTTGGCCTAGACTCAGATTGTTGATGTCCCTTTTTGAGTGAAAATTGTGGCAAGTCTGTTGTCTCTGTTGCCCTTATGTAACTGGCACTTCAGTGGCAATAGGTGCTTCCACCAAGGAATGGCCTGGGTGCTCCATGTACTCCTGAGAAGTTGTCTGGGCATACTCACAGCAGTCTGCTGCCTCCCCAGTCAGTGAGCATCACTCAAGGCCGCTCCTTTCTGCCTCTGGCACTGTTGGATAGAGCACCTAAACACAGTTCTCACCCCAGCTAGGATGGAACGTGGTCCAGCTGGCCATGCGATCTCTCCTCCCTTCAGGGTGAAAGACAAGGTGCTCATTATCAGTCCTGCTGGCCTACAACTACCACTCCTGTCTGCTCCCTGCCCATTGACCTGCATTCTCCTCTCTACACTCCCCAGAACACAGGGTCACCCAGGCCTGTTGTGGCCAAACTATGACCAGTTTCCTTTCTGCTTGTGCTGGTCTTGCTGTGGAAGCGGGAGGAGGCAGTCTTCATGGTCTGTTCCACAGCTCCTCCACCATTCTGTCCTTGTACCTCTCGTTCCCAGACTTTCTGGTTCCCTGTCCTGGGTCTCTCTGCCAGACTTCACACATGGATGCTCGCTAGGCTTTCTGTACCCTGCATCTTGCCCTAGGGAACCTCCTGCCTTGCTGCTTTTCTACCTGTATGGGCTGGGGTAAGATATGGCCCATGGATGCCCTTGCTTAGCTCTACTGAACCCTTAAGTCTCATGTAAGTGGCAATTAGAGTATCTTGCAAGATAGCACTGGTCCCCTGGCTGCCCAGATGCCTAAGTGGCTCCCTGCTGCCCCAGGGATTATGTTCACAGGTCTTCATGGGCCTGCCTGAATTCCCATGTCCCACAGTTGTCCTCTGGTGTTTTCCTGCAGTGCTGTGTCCTTGTCCACGCTGCAGTTTCCTGTCCTGTCCTGCGAGACAGCTACTTCCACTCACTATTCATCTCTGGTGCTATTCACTTCTGCTGATCTGGCAGCCTTGGCCCCCATCTTGGAAGCCAGTGGAAGTCCGCTGCCAGTGATCCGTCTTCCTTCCACACTGGACTACTTTCTCTGAGGATAGGGCCATACCTGTGCTCACCACTGGCTGTTCTCATAGCACAGGTCTTGGCCTGTGGCGGGTGTACCACAAAGTTCTGTTAGTGACTGAGAACTAATTAGACTTCTGGATATGAATGAAGAAGACCACAGCTTCTTTAGGTTTCTAACAAGGAACCCACACACTACTCTGGAAGGGGCATTTGGGGCATAGTATTAAGAGGTGGGAAGTAGATGGAGCCTGGCTCTCAGCAGATTTTTGTTGAAACTGGGGGCATTTGGGGTACAGCATTCTGTCTGTTGTTGGATCAGACTGCTCTGATGTGCTGCTCGGGTGCAATAGCTGCTTGACTACTGGAGTTGCCTGTAGTGCCCAGGGTCACACCTTTATAATCCCATGCCCTTAGGCCTTCCTTTAACCTCACTAAGCCAGATTCCTCTTCTAGAAATGAACAGCTATACAACATAGTGTCTAACAGACAGAACTCTGAAACTCATCAGGAAATACCCACTCTGTCGACCTGGAAGAGCACCATGCAAGTCTGGTTGTTAGGTTACTTGGATAGGCTCAGTATGACAGGAAATAGGGCAGTGCTTACTTGTTTGAAGGGAAGAAAGTAAAAGCAGCTAGTTGATGTATCTGGGCCTAGGATCAAGGTTGCCTCTGCCACTAAGCAGTTGTAAATCAGGACAGTAAACTTGAAGGAAGGATTGTTGTATGCTAATAAATATCACAGGTGGTAAATGATTGTGGGTGCCTGTGTGTGTGCATATGTATGTGTGTGTGTACACAGCAGACAGACTGTGTCCTCAAAGTTGTTCCTGCTGCCCACTGCCAGTCTCAGCCCTGCAGAGGTGCTCATTTAAATATTGAAATCCAGGCAAGATTCTAAAGCTTTGTTAAGCCTCCCTTGAGTGACATAAGCTAAATGGATTCTCACCCAGAAGTGTCAAATTTTGGGGGGCTGGTCTTAGGATTTTTTTCCCTTAAAGCAAGAGTGGCAGGTGAAATGGTCTCTATGTTAGAAGAAAGGCTGACAAGTTGGCATTCCCCGGTTCCCATGCTAACCAAGACTGACCTGTTTAGATCCTCCTGGTCCACATGTGCTGGCCTTCATCAGGTTACGTAGGTAGGTCTAGATCCCACGCTGCGGAAAAGAAAAGGCCTGGCGAAAATATTATCTCCTAGTCTTTCTGTCTTGTCTTGAAGGTGCTTGACATCCTCCAGCACATCCAGACCCTCGACCCCGGGCAGCACGGGGCGGTGGGCTACCTAGTGCAGCACACGCTCGAGCACATCGAGCGCAAAAAGGAGGAGGTAGGCGTGGAGGTGAAGCTGCGCTCTGAGGAGAAGCACAGGGATGTCTGCTACTCCATCGGGCTCGTTATGAAGCATAAGAGGTGAGTACCTCCTGCTCTGTGTGTACCCAGGACCCGCAGCAGGAAGAGGAGCTGGGCCCAGAGCTGCACCCTGGCACCTTGGGCCACTTACACCAAACCACCAGACAGAAGCTGGACCGGATCTGCGCCCTTTGTGCTTTCAAGCAGAGACTCTTTGCTAACTGAGCTGTAATAGTTTTCATGACCTCTGAGCACTCTAAGCAGTTTGGCCTCATTTTTATGTGGTGCTCGGGATTGAGGATGAAGACTCTGCGTGCCAAGCTAGCCTGTCAGTGAGCTGTAGCCCTGCCCATCCCCTTCATCCTCTCTCTCTTTTCCCTTGGATCTCTTGAGTCACCGTTGTGGGCCAGACTTCTGTGTGACAGCGTTATGCTCGTGGTCTCTTTATTAGGTAGAATTCAACTCTGCACCCCAAAAGCAGGCTAGGAGCTGTGAGGTCCCATTCTCACCGCCAAGCGTCTGTGGTGTGCTTAACCTACCCAGCAGCAGATGGCACTTGGTCACGGTTTGGGTTTCTGTCTCCTGTCTCCACACTGGCCGAGCTTCTTGCCATTGTGTAGCTACATGTGGAAACAGGCCTGCAAGGCTGTCTTGGGTGCTGGTCATACTGGTTTGTGGCCTGCCACTCTGTGCAATCCTCTGGTTTCTATGAGGTGAATTTGCAAGTACCTTCTCAGTGTGAAGCCGTGATTTTTGTTCTTTTACTGAGTTCTATTTTTGTAACCTTTATGGGACTTCCCAATCATATATAAGAGCAGAGAGGTGGTGAGCTTGTGAAGCCGGTGATGATCCTAACATCCAGTTCAGCACTGAACACAATAGGGTCTACCCTCGTTGTCTCCACCCTCCCCATCTTCCCAGGACTCTCTGAAGCAAATGCCACAAGCATTTCATCCACACTTGTCCAGTATGTGTCTCTAGAACTGAGGGCTTACACTCTCCGTCTTGTTTACCATCCTCCTCCCATCTAGAACCCAGTTTGCAGTTCCTAAGTTCACCCAATATCTAGGCAGGTCCACGCTGTCTCAGCCTTCCTGTACATTTTCACATGGTCTGCTTGAGTCAGGGTCCACTAGTCTGCCTTTAATGCTGTCCAATGGTTCTTCCTTCTTGGATCTCCTGTCACAGTGATGTTTAAAGTTCAGCATTGTGCTCTTAAGTCTTCCTCTGAAGCGATTTGGGAGTGTGATCAGGCCAGCATCCTGATACCTTTCTTTCCCACTTACCCATTCGCTCTGTTCAGAGTTTATTCTCTTCTAAATGAAGTGGTATTGTTGACAGTAAGAGAAATTGTGAAAAGGGACATGAATGTCCCTAAAATGCCTCAATATAGAGCAAAAGGAGGTAAATTGGAAAGAGCAGACAGCTTGAACGAAGGCCGTCCAGGCGTTCCCTGTGTTCCATGGCAGCTGTGGGGCCCTGCAAGAAATTGATTTGTGCTCTTCTTATGCTCACAGGTATGGCTACAACTGTGTGATCTATGGCTGGGATCCCACCTGCATGATGGGGCATGAGTGGATCCGGAATATGAATGTGCACAGCCTACCACATGGCCACCACCAGCCCTTCTACAATGTTCTGGTGGAGGATGGCTCCTGCAGATATGCAGCCCAAGGTAAGACACTGTGCTCACCTCCGCCAGCACCTGCCTGTGTTTGAAGTATGCATACATGCTGTGGGCAGACATTCAAGAGGTGTGTTTGGAGTTGGCAGCTGTCTAGGACTGAAAGCAACTAAATGTGGTCCTGGTGTTGTGGCCATACACAGGCTAAATGGTCATATACAAACTCACATACCTCCTGGTCCATGTTCTAATACTTTTACTGCCCTGTGCCAACCAACAGTCCTGCCTGCCAAGCCTGGCCTGCCTGGAGGGCACTAGCAACATTTGAAGGAGCCCCTTGGGTGTTCCTCCTGCCTCCTGAGACTGGCTTCTAGCAGTGTTGTCCTAAAGATGCTATTGTGTAGCTACATGTGGAAACTGCAGTCCTCAGTGCTGACCCCCAGTGCCAGAGTGAGTAGCTAGAGCATTTATGGTCTTGGCCAGCCCTGACCCGTGCCAGCCTAGGGAAGAGCTGAGGATTAAGGTAGAGATCAGGAAGCCTTCAATGCAGGCCTGCTTTTTCTTAGTCCCTGATGATTTTCACCTCTGTATACCCAACTGCAGTGACTTTATTAATAAGAGGGAACATGGATGCTAATGTTGTAGGCCAAGTGGTGTTCTCAACGTCTGTTAAGTCTGTTTGGGACACATGCTTATCACTGGAGCCCATGTGAGCCATCTTCACTGTACCTTGCCCAGGATGGACTTGAAGCCAGGAGCTTTGCAATGGCTCACCCTGCCGAGATCCAGCCATAGAAATACCAAGTGCTGAAAGCATCAAGCGTTTCAGAAAGGCTGAAATGGCCCCTGGTGGGTGATTGATTGTTAATCCATCAGAGGCCAAGAGGCTCCCTGTGATCTGTCTAGAGAAAGTTCTGCACAAAGACTGCAGGCACCTCTCCCCATCAGTTGCTGAGTCGGGGAAAGGGACTGTTGTGCTTCCTGGGTATGCTGAAGGCTCCCATGGGATAGTCTTCAGCCTTTGAACCTGTGTCAAGATAAAGCATACAATTGCTCCTCTTTTTTCTTATGTTAATCAGCATTTCACCTGCGTGTATGTACGTACTCCATGTGCATGAAGTTCCTGTGGAGGCCAGTAGAGGGTGTCAGATCCCCTGGAACTGGAGTTAGAGGTGGTTGTTAGCCACCATGTGGGTGCTGGGAAGTGAACCCAGGTCCTCCTCAAGAACAGCCAGTGTCCTTAACCACTAAACCATCTCTCTAGCCTCCATACTCAACAATTTCTAAAAGTCACACAGTGATTTGAAATTGTCCAGCTCTTTGCTGAGCCATTTGGCAAGGGTTTACACTTGTCTGGTTCAGAAGAATGGAGACCTTTCTGTCATCAGCATGTGACCTGTGACTGTAGTTTAACAGGTGCAGCCACTGTCTATCCTATATAGGATTAGGCATGAAGATCTTTAATATTGGTTTCTAAAAACATTTCTGTTGTTTGGAAGCAGGCTCTTTGGGACAGGTAAAATGAGCATTTGGCATTAGGCATTCTGAATCTGTCCTGGTGAAGCTTTGGGAATGTGTCTATTTGTGTCTACATAAATATACAGGGTAGTTTGCAGTCATTGTTGGATAACTGAAAAAAAGTGTGTATGCTTGTCAGCCTTACCACCCCTAACAGACTGAACATGTGATGTGGGCTGGCGGCCTTGGGCACATTAGCTTTCAAGACTTGAAAAATCCCTAGAACTGAAAAACTGTTCCCATGCTGTGTTTTCTGAAAACCCCTCTGACAGCATCAGGACTGGGACTGAGGCGTCTGAGGGCTGCTGTGCACCGACTGGGGTTCAGAGGTGGTGAGGAACTCCTTCACAGCCTCCCCGCCACATGTCAGCACATGTGGGGCTCTTCTGGGCCATCTCCCTGGCTCCAGTGACCTTGTTAACCATTTGTATGCTAGTGATTGTCAAAGCTGTATTTCCAGGCTCAGCTTCTCTTGGCCCTGGCCTATCTTTTACATTCCAGAGACTTCCCTTGGAAGTCTCTAGAATCTTGAGGTATCTCTTAAATCTCCTTTTCCCTGAATTGGTACCGTACCCCCTGCCTACCCTGCGTGCCCAGTCTCCACAGGGCACCCTTTTGGAGCCAACTCATCCTTCTGTCTGATCACCACAGTGCTTCCAGCAAGCCAGAGTGCACACTGCTCTCATCTTCCCTTTCCCTTCTGCAGCCATGCTTCTGCTTGGCACATAAGTGTCTGGCCTCTGCTATCATGCTGTTTCTGAGGACATTCCCACTTAAGTTCAATTTGGAGTGTCTCTGTGCTCTTGGCTGCTGTGGCCCTATTGCAGCCTCACCTCTGTCCCTGCCCCCACGGTGCTGTGCTGCCCTGCCACATTAAGGGTGGTGTTCCTGCTCACCTGCAGGTCTTGCAGGAGCTGGCCTTCACAAGTGTCACTTCCTTCCCTTCCAGAAGCTTTTCTCAGTCCTGCTCAAGGTTCCCCAGGTTAGCACCTTCACACCCTCTAATTCCTGTGAACTGATCTCCACCCTTTATTAACTGCATCTGCCCTGCCACTCAGGGACAGCAGTAATTAAAAGAGCACACTGGATCTCCTCCCCCCATTTACCTCCACTGGATTCCATAGGCAGCATGTACCACATCATTTGTTCTAGGAGTGGAGATTGTGCTCCTTGCTCGCATGGAAGGGAAATGGCAGGCAGCTCGACCTTAGAATCTCACATCACAGCTTCCTCATACCATGTTTGGTCAGTATTTGGACCTCCTGGTTGCCACAGACGACCCTTACAGCTGAACGAATCAGCTAGCCACGGTGCGCTGCCTGTGGCTGCCGCTCCCCTTGGTCTCTGATTCGAGAACAGTTCCTTATTTTCCATCTTTTTCTCTCCTTCGTCAGGACTTGGACTTTTTGAAGAATCCAGGCCCATCAGTTGTTTTGGGATTACCTTTGCCTCAGTGTCTCTTTACCTGTGTGTTGTCTATTCAGGCAGTGAAGGCTGAGGTCTAACTAGATTGCTAACCAGATGCTCAGTATAGGATGCTGTGTGCTTCCCACTGCATCCCATTCTGAGGAACCTGGGGTCAGGGTCCCAGCCTTGCAATGCTGTTTGACCACAAAACAGATGTTTCCTTTGCAGTTGGCAAGAGGTCTATGGGATCACATTGCGGGTCCTGTGAATGTCACTCCCCAGGGACCTGGGACACTGGTTTGCCCTAGCACTTGGAGGTCTCTGGCTGACATTGAAGAGCATGGAAGAGTGGTGTGTTTCTACTGCTCCTGCTCCTATCCTCTGCCCCACCTGCTCCCTACCATAGAGTCTGGATTTTATTTCAGTGAATTGTAGTCATCATCTGCAATAGTTTGATGCTCACGGTCCACAGTCAGGTCAGTAGGAGAGAGACCTTATCAAAGTACATTGTTAGCTTTAAACTTTTTAAAGATTTATTTATTTTTGTTTTATGAATATGAGTGTTTTTGCCTGCGTGTATATAAGTATACCTGTGTCACAACAGAGACCAGAAGAGTGTGCCGGATTCCCTGGAACTGGAGTTACATACAGTTGTTAGCTGCCATGTGGGTGCTGGGAACTGAACCTGGGTCCTCTGCAAGAACAGCCAGTGCTCTTAGCCATTGAGCCATCTCTCCAGCCCCCATTTTTTATTTTTTTAAGTGTATTGTTATTGTGTGTGTATGCTAGAGGAGGGCAATGCACCAAGGGATGTATGTGGTGTCCAGGACAGCTTTGTGGAGTCAGTTCTCTCCTTCCATCTTTATGTGGGTGGCAGAGCTTGAGCTCGGGTGTCAGGTGTGCACAGCACCTGCTCTTACTTGTTGAGCCAGCTCTCCCCTGAGAAACTACTTTTCTTTTACTGATGTTTTTATTTATATGTTTTATGTGTATGAGTGTTTTGCCTGCATGTCTATAAGTGCACCTGTGTGTACAGTGCCAAAGAGGGCATTGGAGCCCCTGGAACTGGAGTTAAAGACAGATGTTAGGTGTCATGTGGGTACTGGGAACCGAACCCGGGTCCTCTGCAAGAGCAGTCCATGCTGAGCCATCTTTCCAGCCCCAAGAAGCTGCATTTTTAAAGCACTTATTTCAGTTTCCATATGAACGTTTCTGTTTTAATTTATTTGCATTAAATTTGTTTTAATTCCCTTGATCTAAATTTTCAGCAGTTGGCACCAACAATCCTGTTTCCCTGAGGAGAATTCAATTACCAGCTCTCCACAGGGCATTGAAGAGTGAATTCTAAACCACACACAGTTCTCATCTGCACGATTCAGAGGATGTCTCACCTGAGCGTCCTGTGTGTAGGACTTCCTGCTCCCACTAGGGGGCGTGCTGTGGCCTTTTGTTGGCCCTGAGCAGGAGAGCCTGGTTCCTGTCTCTTTTTCCAAGAGTACTTCTTAGATATCATGGGAAGTGCATGCTGGGAATGCTCTGAACTTCAGCAGCTCCTGTCAAAAGTTCAGGGTTTTAGCTCCCAGGTAAAAATCAAATCCAGTTAAGTATTTTGTCTATGACAAAAGACCCCTGGTGTGGCTTTGAAACAATATGCCTGTCTTAGTTACTGTCTATTGCTGTGATAAAACACTGATCAAAACCAACTTGGGGAGGAAAGGGTTTATTTACTCTTTCAACGCTGAGGTAACACACTATCAACTGAGGGACATCAGGCAGAAACTCCAGGCAGGAACTGGAGCAGAGACCACAGGGGAATGCTACTTACTGGCTTGCAGTTGATGAAGGGATTTTAGGGGCCAGGGAAATTGGAATGCTCGAGAAATTCCATTCTTCTAACATATTGTGGTATCAAGTAGGCATTCTTATTCCAAAAGAGAAAACCAAGATCATAGCCAATAAACGATGATACCAGAACAAAGTCAAATTCAGCAGAGAAAACACCAGATCTTCCGTTTCAGTGACCAGCACCTAGAGCTTAGAATGTAATCTTCTGGGCTCTAGTGAGCAAAGTCCCTTCAAGGATGCTTAGTGTTTTAATGTTCCATAACTTGTATATGATAATACAC